TTTTTGCTTATGTGGTGCTGAGGAATTGAACCCAGGGCCTCAGGCATGCAAGGCAAGTGCTCTACCACTGAGCCACCTTCCCAGCCCTAATCCAAACATTCTTGAACTTGAAGATGGCAAATGTTTCTTCTATTCTAGCAAAATGCACTGTTTTAAGTGTTGCTTATATTCCTTGAAAAAAATTTTTTTTGATTGGTCGTGGGGCTTGAACTCTGGGCCTGGGCGCTGTCCCTCAGCTCTTCAACTCAAGGCGAGTGCTCTACCACTTGAGCCACAGCGCCACTTCTGGTTTTCTGAGTAGTTCATTGGAGATAAGAATCTCATGGACTTTCCTTACCGAGCTGGCTTTGAACTGCGATCTTCAGATCTCAACCTCCTGAGTAGCTAGGATGACAGGTGTGAGCCACCAGTGCCTGGCTTTTCTGGCATTTTTAGCGATGACTGAGCAGGCCTTCACTGCTCACCGTGGGCTGTCTTCCGTATCTACTGACTGTTACCAGTCCCTCCATTGTTCAAGATCAGACCTTAGGCTCCACCCACATCCGGGTAGCAGTCAGTCAGAGAGGGGACCAATATCCCCAAAGCCCTGACTGCCATCCAAGCCAGTTCAGTGCTTATCTTGCCAACCATAACCTGAAGTTTCACATCCACTTAGGATGAAATTAAGCCTGTGTACCCCTCAATATTTAGGGTACTTGAACAGAAATTCCAATCGAAATCTCTCATGTACCCCCATGTCCGTCCGTTCCCCCCCAAAGCGATGCTGTCTAAATGCAGCCTGCTGTGGTTCCTTCACAGACCCTCTGAGCGTGGACGTGGAGTACACTGAAGTGGAAGTTTCCTCCGTGGAGCCCCGCCAAGGTAAGCGCCCCTCACCTGCTCTTAGTGACAAGGGGCTCTGGGAAGAGGGGTTGGTCAGCAGACCTAAGGCATGTGATACACCATGGTGATAATCGTGAATTAGGATACTATTGATGTGGGGTACCCCGCATTAAGTGTTCACTAAGTGCCATGACTCGGAGATGAGAGACTCATTTCTGTGAATGAAAGCAGCCTTGGGCTGGGACTGTGGCTTAGTGGTAGAGCATGTCTAGCATGCAGGAGGCCCTAGGTTCGATTCCTCAGTACCACATAATCAGAAAAAAGCTGGAAGTGGTGCTATGGCTCAAGTGGTAGAGTACTAGCCTTAAGCACAGAGAGGCTCAGGGACAATGCCCAGGCCCTGAGTTCAAGCCCCAGGACTGGCAAAAAGAAAGAAAGGAAAGGAAAGGAGAGAGGAGGAAAGAGAAGAAGGTCCTGTTCTGGGTGTTCTGGCTTTCTTCCAGTGTCTGGAAAACAGTGTTAGGACACAAGGCCATGTATCAATCAAATGCACATTGGAAGGGATGGAGGGACATTTGGGGACAGACAGCCCCTCTCAGAGTGAATGGATGGGTGCCTGGCCTTTTGTGTTTGCGTGTGTTGGTTTTCTCAAGGACAGGGAGTCCAGATCTCTGGGTCAGGACTAGGGAACTGAGGCAGAGTAGGCGTGTTCCATAGCCCATACTAAAACATCCATCTCAGCTGCTTGTTGGTTTGTGTGTTTGGCAACACGAGGCATTGAACTCAGGGCTTTGAGCTTGCTAGATTGGTGTGGTACTACTTGAACCATTCTCCTAGCCCTTTTTTGCTTTAGTTATTTTCCATCTAGGTCTCACTTTTTTTTTTTGGCCCATGACCAGCAATCTTCCTGTCTATGCCTCCTGCATAGCTGGGATTATAGGCACATACCACCATACCCAGCCCATCAAAGCTGCTTTGGGTACCTAAAAATACAAAATGCAGCTCCTAATCCTTCTTCCCCTTAGCTCACTCAGGCTCCTGCGAACTCAAAGACAAAAAAAAAAAAAAAACCAAAACACATACAAAAAAAAGCAAACACCCAGAGTCTTCCAGCCCTACTGGAAAGTTCGGGACTGCTGCCATCCCGCTCCCTCTCCACCCAGGCTGAGGCCAGGCTGTGTTCTCGGCCAGACAGGTCTGGGAAGTTTTCCAGGCTGGGCCCAGAGTCAGGAATCACATGGTGATAGCAACCTGAAGCCACCTCTCTCTTTTTTCTTTGTCATTGGTGGAGCTTGATGACAGGCGTAAGCCACCAGTGCCCAGCCTGATGCCACCTCCTGCTCCATGATCTTGGAAGAATTTGGGGATCCTTTCTTGTGCGCTTGCTGCCAGAACCTTCCTGCCAAGGCTGCCCTGTATGGTCCCTAGGTTGTGTACTGACGGCTGGGTTTCTCTCCTGTGGTCTCCAGTCAGAAACAGCCTCCAGAGGTATACCCTGAGCTATCTGAAGAGCGTCCCACTTCTAAGTCCCTGCCGGACCTGGGTGGGGCAGGGAACAGGCAGGCTTGAAGTTTTATGGGAAAGTGAATCCCTTATTGACATAATGAATAATGAATGTCATGGCCGTGCAGCCTCAAGAGCTGGAAAAGCAAGGCAACTGAGGGTCGATAGCACCTGGTGATTTAAGCCCTGGGAACAGTACAGATTGGAGTTCAATGACCTTTTTGGGTGGTTTAAGGAAATCTCATTGAGAGGGAGCATGCAAGCTGGAGCCTGGTGCTACAAAGAAGGCACCTCTTCCCCCCCCCCGCCCCAACATGAGAGAGAAAGAGAGAGCTGGGGGGACTCCAGGGAATAGGAAGGGCGGGTATGAGATGTGTGAGATGGTTCCTATCTTGGCTCATTTTAAATCTGGCTAGATGGGGTGGCACATGGCTGTAATCTCAGCACATGGGAGACAGAGGCCTCACGAGTGAGGCCAGCCTGGGCTAGAGTGGAAAATCTGAAAGGAGGCTTGTATGTCTGCAGAGTCAGGGTAGAAAGGACATGGATGGAGCTGGGGGAGGAGCAGGCTTGGGGCTCAAGCATACAGGGTTTTTTTCCATCCTCTAAATAGATCAGGGATGGGCTGGGAAGGTGGCTCAGTGGTAGAGTGCTTGCCTTGCATGCATGAAGCCCTGGGTTCCATTCCTCAGCACCACATACACAGAAAAAGACAGAAGTGGTGCTGTGGCTCAAGTGGTAGAGTGCTAGCCTTGGGCAAAAGAAGCTCAAGGCCCTGAGTTCAAGCCCCAAGACTAGATCAGGGAGTTTTTGGAAACATTAGGCAGACAGGGGCAGACTCCAAGTCCTTCTTTTAAGAAAGAAAAGGATCAAAGGAGGAAAGAATGGAAGCAGAGAGACTATTTGAGAGCTGGCAAGAGATGGATGCTAATGTATTTTGCAGACAAATCAATGAGAATTGAATGATGAGCACGGGGCATAGCAGAAGTTCCACATGTTTCTTGCTGGAATAAGCACATGGAGGCCATGTCTGAGGTTGGGAGACATGAGCTAGTGGTGAGAGCTGATTCCATCCGGTTGAATGTGAGACGCCCAAGAATGAGACAGCACAGGGGGCTGGTGCCCAGGGGCTGTGATCCATGTGATAGTGGGCTCCCCACCAGCCCTGCTTAGTCCAGCCTAAGCATGGCACATCCTTCCATCCCTGAGCAACCTGGGCATGGCTCCAGAGGTAGCAACTTTCCTCTTCCTAAGGGAAGAATGCCAGGTTTGGAGGGAAAGAGCAAAGGTCACAAGAGGGCAGAACGATAAGAAGCAGGAGTGAAATCCGGCACCAGCGGCTCACGCCTATAATCCCAGCTACTGAGGAGGCTGAGATCTGAGGCTCACAATTCGAAGCCAGCTCAGGTAGAAAAGTCCGTGAGACTCTTCTCTCCAATTAGCCACCCAGAAAATTGGAAATGGAGGTGTGGCTCCAAATGGTACAGCAACAACCTTGAGTGAACAAACTTAAGGGCTAGCACTCAGTCCCTGAGTTCAAGACCTAGCAGAAAAAAATCCTGCTGTCTCCTTCATTCCACACCCCACTGTTCTGACAGCAGAGGACCAGGAGATGAACGTTCTCAGTCTGTACCTGGGCTCTGGCACCAGGCCGAGGACCCCCCAGGGAGGGCCGGGCCCTGCGCATGCTCCGCTGTTGACCGAACCAAGCCACACTAACGCAGTCTGGGAAGCTTTGGGTTTAAGGAAGCCGAAGAGGGAAGAAGGAAGCACTTGTGCGCTTGGAAAAGACCTTCTAGAAACCTTGAGTTTTCTCATCCAGTGAGTTAGGTCAGGCCTTCCCACATGTGGGGAGCGAGGTGTTACTAGAAGAGGAAAGGGCTTTGTAGGTTCAAGGCTAGCGATGAGTAAACTTGACCTGGACTTGGCCAAGCCAGTTCCCTGTGGTCAAGGCCATATCTGTGGAGGACGGGATGGGCAGGAACTCCTTACGCCCTGTCCAGATCTAACCCTGGCTGGCCGCTGGCCAGAGCGGACCACTGGGGGTTGGAGGAGGGGCAGGAAGGAACTGCCTGTTTGCTCCAAGACTGATTGATTGCTGGGAAAACCCCATGACGTGGATGCCATGTCTTTCTCTAGTAACTCAGAGAAAAACAGAAGCCAAAATAAAGCCACATGCGGAAATAATGCTGACAGCAGGAACAAACAGCTGCGGGTCTGGATTAGTCATTAGCAGACAGATGCCATGGGGGAAAGGGGGATGGGGACCAGCTCCACCCCCTCCCCCTCGCTGAGCTGGGCAGAGCCAGGGAGCCGCTGCAGAAAACCAGGGGACCTTCAACCTAGAAGCAGAAACTACCCCTTACCGCCCAGCTGAGAAGAGTTTACAGGGTACAGGGTGACAGAGAAGAGGAGTGGCTAATCGGGTCCATTAGGAGCATCCCCAAGGCAACCAGAGGGGTCTCCTGACCCCCCCCATGTGTCTGGGGGCAGTAGAGTTCACGAGGTGTTCAGGTCCCCCAGGCTTGGCCATCCCCCTCATTTTATTCACCTCCTCCTTCCCCAGCTCCACTGAGAAGCTGGGGCAGAGGACAAGCTGGCAGTGCTATCGCTCCCTCCAATCCCCTCCGCTCTGCACGCAGCAGCATCCAATAGGATCCATCCCAGCATTGGTGCTCATTTGCATGCTGTGCACCTGCTCGTCCCTCGGCCCGCAGCCCCTGAAAGCTAGGACCAGATCCCACCACTTTCTCTTCTTCCACGATGCAGGCTACACCACAGTTGGATGGGTGACTAGCCAGGCCTGACATTGACCCGAGGGTCCCCTGGGGGTACAGAGGATCCCGCAGCAGCCTGGGGAATCCATAAGCTCCCTTTCACAGCCCACAGCTGGGACTTGCAGAGCTACTTGGGCCTCTGTGCTGTCTCTTAAATCCTGGCAGTGGGGGATCAGGTCTTGGCCTGAGGAGTTACTGTAATTCTTTCAGCAAGACCTCCTTGCTCCAAATGCCTCAAGTTCCTCCTTGGTATGAGCTGCCTCCTCCCCCCTCCCCACCCCCTCCGCTTTCCCCTGACACACAGGTCCTGACCCAAAAAAGCCACCAACATTTAGTGACTAATAAATGACTGAGATTTTAGCGCGAAAACCTATCTTCAAAAGAGCCCAACTTCCTCTAGCTGTAATTTATTTTGTTTTGTTTTATTGTGCTAGTACTGGGGGTTAAACTCAGGACATTTCTCTCTCTCTCTCTCTCTCTCTCTCTCTCTCTCTCTCTTTTGCTCAAGGCAGGTGCTCTACCTCTTTTTTTTTCACTGGTCATGGGGCCTGATCTCTGAGCCTGGGCGCTGTCTCTCAGCTCTTCAGCTCAAGGCTAGTGCTCTACCACTTGAGCCACAGTGCCACCTCCGGCTTTTTCTGCTTATGTGGTGCTGAGGAATCGAACCCAGGGCCTCATGCGTGCAAGGCAAGCTCTCTACCACTGAGCCACCTTCCCAGCCCCGGTGTTCTACCTCTTGAACCATACCCCTCCTTCCGGCTTTTTGCTGACTAATTGGAAATAATGGACTTTTCAAAGCTGGCTTTGAACTACCATCCTCAGCTCTCAGCCTCCTGAGTAGCTAGGATTACACACGTGAGCCACTAGTGCCTGGGAGAAACTTCAAGAGAAAGGCTGATACAGCGTCACCTTCCTGAATCGCAGGGGTGTGAGCCAGAGACTACCCGCAGGATGTGGGTGGTGTCTTCCACTGTCACGTTAAACTGTGACTGGTGCCCGAGGAAGCTGCTCAGAGCCGGGAATGGCAAGGGAAGGCAAGACCTCATCTTCGCCCCAGGCTCCAGCTGGGAACACAGTGTTCCAAACAAACAGAGAGAATGTGTTGTAGGTAAAAGTGTCCCAAAGGCTGCCAGGCACCGGAGGTTCACGCCTATAATCCTAGCTACTCAGGAGCCTGAGAGATCTGAGGATCATGCCCGGGGAGAAAAGTCCGTGAAACTCTTCTCCAATAAACCACTCAGAAAACCGGAAGTGGCACTGTGATTCAAGTGGTCGAGCACTTGCCTTGAGCTGAAGAGCTGAGGGACAGCGCCCAGGCCCAGAGTTGAAGCCTTATAACTGACCCCCCCCCAAAAAAAAGTCTCCTAAATGCTGTGAGCCCCCAGGACTGTGCTCAGAGGACAGGAAAGGGGTGAGTAAGGATGTGTAGGGTATGAACACATGACTACAAGAGTGAAGCGTGTCCAGGGCCTTGGATGAATGGGGCAGAGAGAAGAGACAGTGTCCCCGTGGGATAGGCAGAGTTAGGAAGAGCGGGGGAATCACCGGGTTGTGCTGAGGAGTGGTGATCTCAGGATACTTAGAGGCTGTGGCCCTGCCCATCCGTCGGACATGAGGAGAGAAATGGCCGGTGGTGCTGGCTATGACATCAAGGAGCATCAGACCTTGCCAGGGGCCCCTTTCCCACCTAGCAGAGGAAGGTGCGTCCCTCACCTGTCAGCCTCCGGAGCTTCCCCAGTCCTTTATGCAGATGAGAGGAGACAGGAAGTGATCAGGCTCTCTCCTGTTTCCTCGGGGTTTGTGAGTGCGCATGCGTGCACAAGTGAGTGTAAACGGTGTGTGTGTGTATGTGTATAAGCTACACAAGGTGCACACAGCAGTGTATGCACACACATCCTGGGCATGTTACCTCAAGGTGAAATAAACAGGGAGGTATGGGCTGTTCTTTGTTCCCAAGCCCTTAAGTGGCCTTCAGTAGTGGGTGTAATCCCTGCCCTGGGTCCGTCTTCTTATCTGCTGTCCTGAAAGGGTTCAGCCCTCAGGATTGTAATTCCAGCAGACCACGAGCCTTCCTGGGAGAGATCTTCCACACATCAACATCTGGGCTGCCTGCATCTCCCCCTAGTGTAATCAGAATCCACAGTGAGCCATGGGGTTAGCGCTGAACACAGGCCCAGCCAGCCCCACCTGCATGTGGTCCCAGTCCCCCCGCTGCTCCTGAGGGGCCTGGTGATGCCAGGCTCCCACCCACATGTGGGGATCCAATTCTGGATCTAGGCTCTCTGATGTTTGGGTGACCACAGCCAGGCCTGTTGGGAGGGGCCTGGCTGAGCAGCTAACACAGGGTCTACAGATGGGGTCACTGGGCTGGGAGCTACAGGCCAGAACAGAGCCCCTCCATCGGTTCCTGGGGCCCAGGGCTGCCCCCACAGTGGCCTGAGGACCTCCTACTTCCGTTGTGTGAGCGATCTGTTAGGAAGAGACCTTTTTCTTTCTTTCTTCTTTATTTGGTTGGTTATAGGCTTGAACTCAGGGTCTGGGCACTGTCCCTGAGCTTTATAGCTCAAGGCGAGCACTCTACCACTTGAGCCACAGCACCACTTCCGGTTTTCTGGTGGTTCATTGAAGATAAGAGTTTCACGGACTTTCCTGTCTGGGCTGGCTTTGAGCTATGATCCTTAGCTCTCAGCCTCCTGAGTAGCTAGGGTGACAGGTAGGAGCCACGGGCTCCCAGCTCAGGCTGAGATCTTTTGAAGTGGGGGAATGGCAAGTCTCCAGCAGCAAACAGGGGCGCTGTTGTTGCAGTGGGAGGTGGGTGCAGCGGTGGGTGGCCTTGGTGGAGAGGCGGCTTCTGATCTATGCCTGGTCCTTTTTCCAGCTCTTGGAAGGAAGGGCACTGAGACAGTGTACAGTGAGATCCGGAAAGTCGACCCTAGTGAGTGAGGGGCCCCTGACTCTCCAGCTGGGGGGCGGCGGGGACCCCCAGAATCCACTTGCGTCCCATGGTTCTCAAGAGTTGGAAAGGCACAGATTTTTTGGCACTGCCCCACTGAATTTCTGATTCCATAGGTTGACGGATTTACAGCTCTAAGAACTTCCCGCACATTGGCAGTACACTTGGCCTGGCCAGTGCACGTGGAGGAAACACATTTTTTTTTCTTTTGTGGGGCAGAGGAGAGAGGGGCGGTAGTTGATCATAAGGCTTGAACTCTGGGCCTGGGCGCTGTCCCTCAGCTCTTCAGCTCAAGGTAAGCGCTCTACCACTTGAGCCACAGCGCCACTTCCGGTTTTCTGGTGGTTTATTGGAGATAAGAGTCTCATGGAGGGACTGGGAAGTGGCTCAGTGGTAGAGTGCTTGCCTTGCATGCATGAGGCCCTGGGTTCGATTCCTCAGCACCACATAAGCAAAAAGAAAAAAAAAAGCCGACTGGACCCCCCCCACACACAAAAAAAGAGTCTCATGGACTTTCCTGCCTGGGCTGGCTTTGAACTGCAATCCTTTGATCTCAGCCTCCTGAGTAGCTAGGATGACAGGCCTGAGCCACTGGGGCCCCGCTTCAGGGAACACGTTTTGAGCATTATTCTGTAGATGCTCCACGTACCTTTCTGATGATAACACACAGTTTCTGTTCCTTCATGGGAAGAGAAGAAGGGACTTTCTCCCCAGAATTTCTGGAGCCATTGTTCAGGCCAGGAAAAAAGCTAGAAACACTCTGTATGGTGTGTGGGGGACCCCCAATAAAACTAAGGGCCCAGTAAGAAGAGTGCTGAGCGATCAGGAAGCAGCTGGATGTGGGGCAGGGGCCCTGAGCCGGCGCTTCCGTCTGTAGTCCACGCTGTCTCCTAGCACTGGCCATACACACACACACGCACACACACACACACACACCACACGCACGCACACACACACATGCACACACACACACCACACGCACGCACACACACACACATACACACACGCACATACATACACACACCACACACACGCACGCACACACACACACACCACACACGCACGCACACACATACACACACACCACACACACATACACACATGCACACACATACACACACACCATGCACACACATACACACACACCACACACACACACACCACACACACGCACACACACACACACCACACACACACCACACACGCACGCACACACATACACACACACCACACACATACACACACACACACACACCAAACATCATCTGAATCATTTTCCTTTTGTGTGTGTGTGTGCTGGTACTGGTGTTTGAACTCAGAGCCTCAAGCTCTTGCTTAGCTATTTTTCTCTCAAAAACTGGTGTTCTACCACTGGAGCTATAGCTCCACTTCTGGCTTTTTGCTAGTTAATTGGAGATAAGAGTTTCATGGACTTTCCTGCTTGGGCTGGCTTTGAACCGTGATCCTCAGATCTCAGCCTTTTGAGTAGCTAGGATGACAGGTGTGAGCCACCGGTGCCCAGCCAGAAGTGGAGGTTCTTTTCTTTTCTTTTTTTTTTTTTCTTTTTTTGTCAGTCATGGGTCTTGAACTCTGGGCCTGGGCACTATCCCTGAGCTCTTCAGCTCAAGGCTAGCGCTCTACCACTTGAGCCCCAGCACCACTTCCGGCTTTTTCTGTTTATGTGGTGCTAAGGAATGGAACCCAGGGCCTCATGCATGAGAGGCAAGCACTCTACCACTGAACCACCTTCCCAGCCCACGGATGTTATTTTCTATGTCTTGGTCCTCCAGACCCATCACCTGGATATGTTGGATCTGTTAGGGTGAATCAGGGAGTTCAGAGACTCCCCAAGCTCCTCTAGCCCAGCTGCTCCCCAGAAGTCATTTATTCCTGAGCCTAAATTTCCCACAAATCTAAGTCAAGCCCTGGATGTCAGGGCTCAACTCCCTATACTTCTGCTCTATCCTTATTGATCAGAGTTCCCAGATGGATAGAACCATCCAGCATTGTGCAGCACCCAAAGTAGGAGGTGCAGACCTGGGTTATGTGGTTTGCCCCCACTCCCCATCCTCCCTTGTCCCCTCGGTGTTAGTTTTCTCATTCTTGGGTATGTGTGTGTGTGTGTGTGTGTGTGTGTGTGTGTGTGTGTGTGTGTGTGTTTTAGTCATGGGCCTGGGTACTGTCCATGAACTTTTACATCCAAGGCTAGCACTCTACCACTTTGAGCCACAGCACCACTTCTGGCTTTCCAGTGGTTCATTGGAAATGAGTCTCACAGACTCTCCTGCCTGGGCTGGCTTCAAACAGCGATCCTCAGGTCTCAGCCTCCTGAGTAGTTAGGATGACAGGCGTGAGCCACCAGCACCCAGCTTCATTGATTCTTGATGAAACACCCCTGGAGTGTTTTGTCCCCGAGTGAAGGCCCTCTGTAGTTAGGGTGGTTAGGGCTGGGCAAGTGGGGTCTGTGCCAACCCAAGGACTCAGTGTCTGTCTCTGGATCATAGCCAAAGTTGTATGAGTCTGCTACTTGCACATCCTTTCTCCATCACACGAGCGAGGTAGGACATAGAACATAAAATCCTATGTTAGCAGGGTTTGGAGGGTGGGATTAAAAGTAATGTCTATTTGCCACCTTCTACTTGGTTGTTGCTTTCAATTATATCCTTGAAGACATGTGCTACTATTTTTTTTTTAATTCTGCTTAAAATTTGCTAGGCGTGGTGACTCAGGCTTATCATCTGAAGTTACTTAGGCGATAGAGATTAAGGGAAAAAACAAATCACTGTTCAAGCCGGCCTGGGCAAAAAGTCCCAGCTCAACCAAAGATTCCATCACAGCCAAATAAAGAGCTGGGGAGAGTGTCACATTTGGTCTCCCAGCAATGGTGGGAATAGAAATAGGAGGATGGCAGTCCAGGCTGCCCAAGAGCATAGATACAAGACATTCTTAGAAAAATAAAAGCGAGGGGCTGGGAAGGTGGCCCAGTGGTAGAGCGCTTACCTTGCATGCATGAGGCCCTGGGTTCGATACCTCAGCACCACATAAGCAAAAAGGAAAAAATCCGGAATTGGCACTGTGGCTCAAGTGGTAGAGCGCTCACCTTGAGCTGAAGAGCTGAGGGACAGCGCCCAGGCCCAGAGTTCAGGCCCACCACTGGACCCCCCCCCAAATAAATAAATAAATAAATAAAAGCGAACACCCGCTTAGGGTTTGGCTCAAACAGCAGAGCGTGTTCAACAGGTACAAGCCATGAGTTCAAACCTCCTTGCTGAAAAACAAGACGTAAATAAACTGTTTAAAATGTCAAATGACATGCTAGGGGGTTTCCATGAAGGCTTTAGGACCCCTAGGAACCTGTCCCCTGGGTAAAGGATCCACAAGTGCCACGTATTATTGGCTGGGGCTGGCTCCGTGTCATTGTCCCTTTCCTCTTCCCTGCTGGTGCCAAAGCAGCCCTGTGTCATTCGCATGGCTAATAGCCACGTTATCTTTTGTTTTGCAGATTTCATGGAAAACAGATATTCAGTAAGTACACATTGCACATTTATTTATTTATTTATTTATTTATGTTTTTGTCGGTCCTGGGGCTTGAACTCTGAGTTTGGGCACTGCCCTTGAGCGCTTCAGCTCAAGGTGAACGCTAGACAGCTTGAGCCACAATGCCACTTCCGGTTTTCTAGTGGCTTATTGGCGATAAGAATGTCATGGACTTGGGACTGGGAAGGTGACTCAGTGGTAGAGTGCTTGCCTTGCATGTATGAGGCCCTGGGTTCGATTCCTCAGCACCACATAAGCAGAAAAAGCTGGAAGTGGTGTTGTGGATCAAGTGGTAGAGCACTAGCCTTGAGCTGAAGAGCTCAGGGACAGCACCCAGGCCAAGTTCAGGCCCCACAACCACCAAAAAAAAAAGAATGTCATGGACTTTCCTGCCCGGGCTGGCTTTGAACCGTGATCCTCAGATCTCAGCCTCCTAAGTAGCTAGGATGACAGGCGTAAGCCACCAGCGCCAGGCTAAGTACATATTTTGTATATGTGAATGTTAAAAGTGCTCTCCTGAAAGGTTCCCTGACTCTCTCAGGGAGAGTCTGCTTTTCACTAATAATCCTCCCTTACCTCATACTCATTTAGTCTGTTACAGACCAGCCCTGAGCACCTCTGGACAGCCGGAACCAGGCCCTCCCTGTATCTGCATCATTATTACATTGATGAAGGACCCTGGAACAACTCCAGGGAATCTAGGGCACTCATTGCTCTTACAATAAGAAAGACATGGAGTTTCAGAGCATGGTGGTGTGTGCATGCCTGTTATCCCAGCATTCTGGGGGGCTGAGGCAGGAGAGTCAGGAGTTTAAAGCCAATTTGAACTACACAATACATTCCAGATTAATTTCAGTTTTCTAGCAAGACCTTATCTTCAAACCAAACCAAATTTCACAAAGGAGGAGAAAGGGGATCGGAGGGGAGTAAGGGGAGGGAAGGGAGGACGGCTCAGTGGCTCAAGTTCAAGTTGAGCCTCTGACCTGTCTGAGCCTCTCAGCTCTCATCGCCTCGCCCACCTGGGCCTTTGTGGGAGCTGACCCAGCATGGTAGGAGTTAACAGGGTAGCTCTGATGTTCAGAAAAGGCAATTGCCTGTGAACTGCTTCTCTAAGGTCTGGGAAGAATTTTCAGCAAGACTTCTGCTAGCCCTTCCAGTGGGGCCCGGCTTCCTTTGTTTTTTTCCCAAGTCTGAATTCTTGTGAAACAGCGCTCTTTATGCTTTGGACAGACAGGAAGGTGCGGGCATTCTTTTTAAGGAGGAAAGCTATCCATTTAAGGACAAGGAGAGAATTACATGGATGTCTTTTGTCCAGTCTATCCCCCTCCCGCTGGGCTTCTGAAGTCAGAGACTGTTGTACTGAAAGGGCAGGGAGCCTCAATGTACAGATGGGGAAACTGAGGTCTGGGTTGGTAGGGCCACCCTGAACCAGGCTTTCTGGCCTGTGAGTGCTCTGTCCACCGCATAAGAAGTGAAGTTGCTGCCAGGCGCCGGTGGCTCACGCCCATAATCCTCGCTACTTGGGAGGCTGAGATCTGAGGATCCTGGTTCAAAGCCAGCCCAAGCAAGAAAGTCCATGAGACTCTTATATTTCCAATGAACCACCAGAAAACTGGAAGTGGCCTTGTGGCTCAAGTGGTAGAGTGCGCACCTTGAGCTGAAGAGCTGAGGGACAGCCCCCGGGCCTGGAGTTCAAGCCCAAAAGAAGTGAAGTTGCTGTCCTAGGAACGGCCTGGAGCGAGTGGAGAGCGAATGTCCCCATGGACAGCGTGGGGCCCGCGACACAAATGTGCAAATGTGTTCTCCCGCTCCATGGCTTCAGCAGTCCCAGAAGCAGCTTACTTACTTGGTCTTCCATCCAAAGCCTGGAGCTCCAGGCCAGGCAGAACTTTCCCTTTCCTCAGATCCTGGCCCCACCGGGATCCAAAAGTTCTGTTCCTCGGGATGTTCATCAGAACTCATCCAGGGTGATCCTCCCTCTGTCTCCCTAAAACAGAAAATGATTTGTGCGCGTTCAGGGGGTTCTCCGCTGTGAGGGAAGGACTTTTGAATCTTCACACACATCAGATTTTTTTCCCCCTAGAAGAAGCAGGTAAGGGTTTGCCTAATCATCAGCCACCCGAGTCAAGAGAAGACTAATTGAATTTTGCCCAGCAGGGAAGTGGGAGGGGATTTCCTTCCTGAAATCAAACCTGGCCATCGGTCTCCTCTTGTTTAACAGCCGTGGCTTCTGAAAACATATTGGAGGAAATATCTTAACAATGAGACAGCCACTTAGCCAACTCTAATTTCGTATTGTTTGACTTGCTTCAATGGCACCCTCTGACTTCATTTTTCCTCTGCCATTTTTGCCTTGTTTATAAGTTGTGCTTGTGGCCAGCACAGACAGATAACGTGATAGAGAACACCCTGAACTTAACTGAGAAGGGTCTCAAGCTCTTGGAGAAAAACCTGTCTTGGGTGGGAGGGGGGGACATAGAGAAAGGGGAGGGGAGGAGGGGAGAGGAGGAGAAGAAGAGTCAGTGGCCAGTTACAGCTCCTCTACTTCTTCCATTGCAGCCACTACAATGGGACCCGCTCAGGAGGGGGTTCAGCAGATGGGGAGTGGGTTCCACATCTTTGGGGGGAAGCCCTGCTTTTCCCAAGCCTAGGCTTGCCCATATATAAATGGAGGTGGTGACGGTGAAGGAGTTCATGATGGTAAAGGAGCTGATGATGGCGGTGTTGAAGCGGGGGGGGGGGTGATGGTAGTGATAATGCTGGTGATGTTGTGGTAGTGTGATGATGATGGTGGTGAGGGTGATTGTGGTGATGAGGATGATGATGGTGATGGTGGTGGTGATAGTGGTGGTGTTAATGAGGGTGGTGATGGTGGTAGAGGTGGTAATGATGTGTGATGGTGGTGGTGATGATGATGATGGTGGTGATGATAATAGTGATGATGATGGTGGTGGTGATAATAGTGATGATGATGATGATAGTGGTGGTGATGGTGGTGGTGGTGGTGGTGGTAGTAGTGATGATGGTCGCAACAGCAATAACAATTACCTACTAGGATTTTAAGGGTTAAATGCAAAGCTTTGCAAATTGTAAACTACCATAAAAAAAACCAGCTGGAAGCTGGACACTGGTGGCTCACGCCTGTAATCCTAGCTACTCAGGAGGCTGAGATCTGAGGATCGTGGTTCAAAGCCAGCCCGGGCAGGAAACTCTGTGAGACTCCTATCTCCAATAAAGTACTAGAAAACCAGAAGTGGCGCTGTGGCTCCAGCAGTAGAGCGCTCGCCTTGAGCTGAAGAGCTCAGGGACGGCACCCAAGCCCAGAGTTCAAGCCCCATGACTAGGGAAAAAAAAAGAAGACCTCTATTCCCTCGTCTGTACACTGGGTGGACAAAGTCCCCTCATCTAGTTGTATAACACTTAAATAAAAACACCCGACACAGTCCTGGCTTATTGGAAATGCTCGCATGAGGAACTTTCTAGCCACAGGAACTAGTGATCCCCAGAGGGTGCTGGAATCCAAAAGGCCTTGGAAGGGGTCTGTACCACGTTCTGACCAAATGCAGGGCGATTCCATGGCTGAACTTGGCTGGCTGACAGTTGGCCTCTGATTCCAGATCAGCGAGCTCAGTCCTCCACTGTGAGCGCGTTTACCTTTACCTTGAAATCCCTGAGGCCCTGTTCACGGCAGCCTAGCCCTTCCTGGCTGTGGCAGCGCCCGGCCCTTAGCAATGCCTGAGTCCTGTCTGCCCCCAGGGAGAGCGGGCAGGTCTGGGAGGGCTGTGGTCTGCAGGCTGCAGAAGGCTTCGCTCCCTCTGGGAGGAGAGTGGAGGAAATGGTGGGGACGGAGCTGCCAGCCCTGCCAAGCCTCTGGAGCTCGGGGCCCACACAGCTTTCCTGGCCTGCTTGCCCGGGTCTCTCCTGGCAAGAGAGGAGCCAGCGCCTTGGTGTTCTACTTGTGGTCTCTCTGCTCTGCATCCTGTATCAAAAGGCTCAGCCAGAACAAAATGGTGGTACGATCTCCACTTACCCTCAGGAAGCCAGCCAGCCTGACCAACTGCACACGGTCCCTGTGTCTCCTCTGGTCCTGCCTGCCTGAGTTTCACCTGTAGCTAAGTCTTCTGTGCCCTTGGAGTCTCCAGACCGTTGATTTTAGATGCTTCCTGCTCTTCTGGAACCCCGGCTGCCTAGGGGATCCCCATGCTAGCATCTCCCAGCATGCCTTGCATTCGCCAGGCTCTTTCCTCTTAAGAAATTCCAGTCTTTCAGTTTTGCAGAGTTGCTTCTGTGATCCTCCACCTGCCCAGGGTCCTCTCATGGCTTCTGAATGACTTCTGTCCTTTGTTAAGGCCTCTTCTGCCTTCTACCTCATAGCAGTGTTATTAGCATAAACTAGAAAATCCTTGGGGACGTGTTCTTGCTGGGTCCTATAAGGGTCCAGGTGCTGGGAAATGGATAGGTGGCAACGCTAACCACTTAAGCCACAGCAACACTTTTGGCATTTTCTGAGTAGTTTATTGGATGTAAAAGTCTTATGACTTTTCTGCCCAGGCTGGCTTCAAACAGTGATTCTCTGATCTCAGCCCCCTGAGTAGCTAGGATTACAGGCGTGAGCCACCAGCACTCGGCTGATTTTCTTCTTTCTGTTGTTTTGATACAGGGTTAAGGCTGGTACTCTACCACTTGAGACATACCTCCAATTTCAGCTTTTTGGTAGTTCATTGAAGATCAGAATATCTCAGATTTTCCTACCCTGGCTGACTTTGAACTGAGATCCTCAGATCTTAGCCTCCTGAGTAGCTAGGATTACAGGTGTGCACCACCAGCACCTGGCTGTTTTTATTACTATGAAGTTACCTTTTTTGTCTTTAAATATTTGTACAAAGTTAGTTCATGTCAAGATATCAATTTATTGGTGCAGTGCATCTTAATTGGTGTTACCCTTTCCAACATTCTTCCCCTCCTTTTTCAAAAGTTCTTGGCTTTTTAAAAATTGTGCTGTCATATACACAACCTAAAATTGATAATTTAAAAAACATATTCAAGGGCTGGGGTTTGTAGTTCAGTGGTAGAGCGCTTGCTCAGCATGTTCGGGGGCTTGGGTTTGATACCCATCGCTCAGTTTTATTCCATTGCTGTGCAACCATCACCACTGACCATCTGTAGAACTTTTCATACTTCCAAACCAAAACTCTAGTCCTATGCAGTTAACTCTCAGTGGTCCCTCCACCCTTCCCCTAACAGCTACTTTCCCATTGTCTCTACATACTTGATCTTCCTTGACTTCATACTTGCTTGGCTCACTTTCTTGGCCTGGCACTCTACCACTTGAACCACACCTGCAGCTCTGCTTTTTGCTGGTTATTTTGAAGATGGAGATTTTTGACTTGGCCAGCCTCCAAACACATTCCATCCAGATCCTAGCCTCATGAGTAACTAAGATTATAGCTTCAAACTTGACCACTCTTGGCACATTATATAAGTAGAATTATATTTGTCCTTTCATGTCTTTTTTAATTTTTTTGTTATTATAAAGGTGGTGTAAGCTGGGCGCTGGTGGCTCACGCCTGTAATCCTAGCTACTCAGGAGGCTGAGATCTGAGGATCGCGGTTCAAAGCCAACCCGGGCAGGAGAGACCGTGAGACTCCTATTTCCAATAAACCACCAGAAAACCGGAAGTGGCGCTGTAGCTCAAGTGGTAGAGTGCTTGCCTTGAGCTGAAGAGCTGAGGGACAGTGCCCAGGCCCAGAGTTCAAGCCCCACGACCAACCAAAAAAAATAAAAATTAAAAAATAAAGGTGGTGTATGGAGGGGTTACAATTATATAAGTCAGGCAGAGAGTACATCTTTTGGACAATGTGACCCCTTCCCTTGCTTTCTCCCAGTTTTTCCCCTCCCAACCCTATCCACAAATTACATAGTTCATTTTCAATGTAATGTCTAGTGAATAACACTGTCTTTCTTATTTAGCATTCATCTATACCAAAATGTACTCCAATTTTATTCCTTTAAGGCAGAATCATCATTTTATCACTTTAAAACATTTAAGTTGGATCATTCATGTACAGTCCTTGTGTGTGTCTGTGTGTGCACATGCGTGCACGTGTGCATGTGCAAGCCAGTAATGGGGCTTAAAACCAGGGCCCAGGCGCTGTCCCTCAGCTTTTTCACTCAAAGTTGGAACCACAACTCTACATCTGGCTTTTCTGATTGTTAATTGAAGATAGTCTCACAGAGCCAGGCACCAATGGCTCATTTGGAATCCTAGCTACTCAGGAGGCTGAGATCTGAGGATAGCGGTTTGAAGCTAATTCTGGACAGGAAAGACATGAGACTCTTATTATCTCCAATAAATCCCAAAAAAGACAGAAGGGGAGCTGTGGCTCAAGTACTAGAGCACTAGCCTTAAGCAAAAGAAGTTCAGGGACAGAGCCCAGGTCCCAATTCAAGCCCCAGGACTGGTTAAAAAAAAAATTCTCTCAGATTTGTCTTCCTGAGCTGGCTTCAAACTATGATCCTCAGATCTCAGCCTCCTGAGTAGCTAGAATTATAGATGTGAGATACTATATCTGACCAGTCATTTAAAAAAGATTAAAAGGGGCTAGGAATATAGCTCAGTGATAGATACACAAACAAAGCCAGAAGTGGCACTGTGGCTCAAGTGGTAGAACGCTAGCCTTGAGTACAGAGAGGCTCAGGAACAGAGCCCAGGTCCTGAGTTCAAGTCCTAGGACTGGCAAAAAAAAGATTAAAAATGAAGTGTGTCTCATGGTAAGTAGAGGTAGAGCTGGAGCTGAATGTGGTCAGTTCTGATTCATGGCTCCCGTCTCGTCTCCCCCATGGATGAATGCAGCACTGGGTATTGGGGTACTACCTGGCTGGGGGAGTGGGGGAAGGGCTGCACTTTCTGGGTGCAAGCTGGTGCAGTTGTTTGGCTTGAAGCACGGATACAGGGTTTCAGGCAGCGGGGGGCCAGGGAGTGGGTGCACAAGATGCCCGCCTAGCTGTGCACTTCCTCCAGGAAGCCCTGCCTGCCATTTTGCATATTTCTCTAGAGGGACAATCTTGAGTCCTGAGCGTGTGACCACACCTTGTGTTGTCTTTGTCACTACAGAGGACGGAAGGCTCTCTTGATGGAATTTAGGACGTCGAAGGCGGATGCACATCCCTGTCGACGTCCCCAGAAGAACAGATGCTTCCTGTATTTCAAGAGCTCCATGCACTTATTTATGGGCCTGCCCTGCCCCCACCAAGCATAGCAATTCCTCAGGCCAAGCCACCAGCTCTTGACTCCATCCTGCAACGTTCAGGTCAGGCATAAAGAGACGCAGCGGAGCTGTGGAATTGCCCACGTGGCCTTCCTTCCAAGTTGGAAGCGCTTTGCAGTGTGGAGTGGCAGAAGCAGCTTCTGGGGATTCGGGCCACTGAGATATTTTGAAACTTGAATATTTTGTCTTGGACAGAGATCAACAAGTGTTTCATGTGTTCTTTCTATAGAAACTGGTTTTTGTTTTAGTGTTGATCACTCCGGTGAACGGCCTGGTCTTGGGGCTAGTTTCTTTGTATGTTTCTTTCTTCTCTTTTGGCCTTTTGAAGGCCTGGAGTTCTGGACAGCCTCTTGTTCTTTGAAAATGCACGTCCACGTCGCTGACCAGCTTTACCCTGGGCCTCTCTGACCTTACCCACTACAGATAGGAAAACAGCTGCTTGGAAATAGTCACTCCTACAAGACTCCTTGTTTTTCTTCTCTCTCTCTCTCTCTCTCTCTCTCTCTCTGGCTGGTAGTGGGGCTTAAACTCAGGGGTCCTCACATTCTTGCTTAGCTTCTCTGCTCGAGGTTGGCACTCTACCACTTGAGCCACAGCTCCCCTTCTGGCTCGTTGCTGGTTAACTGGAGATAAGAAACACTTGGATTTTTCTGCCTAGGCTGGTTTCAAATCTGGATCCTCAGCTCTCAGCCTCCTAAGTAACTAGGATTACAGGTGAGCTCCACCAGCACCTGTTTTCTATTCCTTTCTTTTCTTCTCCCATGATGAAGGCCAAAAGATGAGAAATGGCTCTCTACAGCAAATCGTATTTTTGAATAGAAAAAAAAAAGGAAATGCGTATTTTTCTTACTAATTTTTCTTAATTTATTCCTTGCTGAAGAGATGGTCTCCTGAGGTCTTAGGAGGTTCCGAATATGGAGGGGAAGTGGGCTGTGGCAGATTTGCTGGTGCGTCAGCAATGCTGCTATAGGGTCCTGGGTGGTGTTGTATTAAATAAATTTCATCTTTACTCTTCCTAGATCTGTGTTGTGTCATCTTCTGAGCGACAGGTGACACAGGATTAGAATACATGGAGCCCTCAAAGGCTCCACAGGGACCCAGACAGAAGAACCAAGCCTCTCTGAGCAGCAGACAGAGCCTTGCTCAGACCAAGGGCCCACAGGGCATCTGGTGAAGTCAGGACCAGAGGTTGATAAGAGGTTCACACACCAAGCCATTGACATCCATTGGCTGGTACTTTTGGCTTCCCAGTGAGTGGCTTGTCAGATTTAATGCAAGAACGAGTTAATTAGTCTCATCTAAGAAATCTAAAATGTTCAATTTAGCTTTCAGATAAATAATGTAAATTCTTAGTGTTAGATCTTGTGTCATGTTTAAGATATACTAAAAATTTTCAAATGTAGCAGACCATTTTAGATTTTAGTTGCCAACCCTACTGGCAGGGTACCCTTCCTCTTGCCCCCCCCAAAAAAATGGATCCTTTCTAGTGACTTGGACCTTGCTCCCTGAAGGCTGTCCTTCACCTTACCGTTACCCCACAGGGCAGAGAGAGAGAGAGAGATCAGAGGGAGGAAGGTTGGAAAGAAGGAAGGAAGGAAGGAAGGAAGGAAGGAAGGAAGGAAGGAAGGAAGGAAGGGAAAGAAAGAGGAGAGGGAAAGGGGAAAGGGAAGGAGGGAGGGAGAGAGGGAGGGGATGAAAGCCAGGAGAATTCATTCCTCTCCTCTCTGAGCCCAGCACGCACACACAGTTGTATTACAACAATCTCATACATTTCCAAGGCATCGTGGCCACAGCCCAGACTGAAAGTAAAAGGCTAGCTGGCTGCTAGATGACCTTGCAACCTCCCAGTCTGCCATGTCTGATCTGAGCAGTGCGTCCACTCCTCAGACCCCATCTGCTGCCGAGAGGCGTTGCCATGGAAACGGCAAAGACCCTGTTGCGCTGGAGCATACACAATCAGGGCTACCTCCGCCTGTATTTTGAGCAGGAAACCACACTCACAGGGATCTTCTTTCGTTCCTTTAATGGCAAAATAAGTCTTTGCCAGTTGTGAAGTCTGCACTCTGAGCCTGGGCGTTGTCACTCAGCTCTTTAGCTTAAGGCAAGCGCCCTACTACTTGAGCCACAGCGCCACTTCCGGCTTTTTCTGCTTATGTGGTGCTGAGGAATTGAGCCCAGGGCCTCATGCATGCAAGGCAAGCACTCTACCACTGAGCCACCTTTGCAGCCACCAAATAAGAAACTCCAAGGCCTGAGGCTTTGCTCAGCAGCTAGAAGAACCCAGTGTCAGCCAGGTGCCAGTGACTCATGCGTGTAATCCTAGCTACTCAGGGGACTGAGATCTGAGGATTGCTGTTCGAAGCCAACCTGGGCAGAAAAGACCCCGTGAGACTCTTGTTTCCAATTAACCACTCAAAAAACGGAAGCGGCACTGTGGCTCAAATGGTAGAGTGCTAGCCTTGACCATAAAGAGCCTCAGAGACAGCGCCCAGGTCCTAAGTTCAAGCCCCACAACCACCACCACCACCAATGACAGCAAAAGCCAAAGTCACCCCAAGGGAGGCAGGTTTCTGCTGGAGAAATTCACTAATGGAAGTTTCCTCTGTGTCCTTGTGGTGTAATTAATACCTGAAGGCCTCACACAGTCGAGTAGCAGAATTTTTATCCTCATTAGAGGAGCTGCAAGAGGCCAGCCACCCATTTCATGAGCACATACTAATCACCTATCACACTCATCCATCCACTGAACTCTCCCTGACCTAGCCCTGAACAGCAGTGTGACTCCAAGGGCAACATTCATTGGTTAAAGCAGTGGTTTTCAGCCAAGGCAATTTGGTCTTTTGACTGTATTTTTTTTTGTCTTTTCTTTTTTGGTACTGGGGATCGAACCCAGGACGTTGCGCTTGCTAGGCAAGCGCTTTGCCACTGAGCTACATCCCAGCCCCAATTTGGTCTTTTGTTGACCACTGGATAGTGATCAGACACGGGATAGTGTCTGAAGACACAACTGGGTGAATGTGCTACCGACACATACAAGGTAGAAGCCAAAGATGTTACCAAATGTCCTACGTGCATAGACAGTCTCCCACAACAAAGAACCAGCGAACCGGAAGGAGGGATGGCGGCCAGGCTGAGAAAGCCTGCATTGCCTTGCATGCTCTGCAGGCTTGGGCCCACACCGCTCCACATTGTCACGCGTGTCAGGTGTTGGGTAGGAAGACCAGAGGACTCATGTGACTCCTTCTCTTCTCATCTCAGAGATACAGACAAGTAAAGGATCGGTGGCTCAGTGGTAGAGCGTGTGCCTCGCATACATGAGGCCCTGGGTTTGATGCCAGATAAGCAGAAAAAGCCGGACGCGGTGCTCAAGTGGTAGAGCGCTCAGCTTGAGCTGAAGAGCTGAGGGACAGCGCCCAGGCCCAGAGTTCTGGCCCCACGGCCAGCAAAACAAAACAAAACAGAATTACAGCACCGTGACAAGAGTTGTGGTAGAAAACACAGAGAAAACATGCAGAAATACCTGAGAGGACTCCTAACGCATGCTTTGACAGGCCAAGTCCAGGAGGCTGGAAGGCCTAACTAAAGGCTTGGAGATAGTCAGGCACTGGTGGCTTATGCCTGTAAACTTAGCTACTCAGGAGGCTGAGCAGAAAAGTCGGTTAGACTCTTTTTTTTTTTTGTCAGTCCTGGGGCTGGAACTCAGGGCCTGGGCACTGTCCCTGGGCTTCTTTTGCTCAAGGCTAGCACTCTACCACTGAGCCACATGCCCAGCCCATTGGTGAGACTCTGATCTCCAATTAACCACCCAAAAGAAGTGGAGGTGTAGCTCAAGTGGTACAGCACCAGTCTGAGCAAAAAAGCCAAGTGAGAGCATGAGGCATTGACTCCAAACCACAATGCCAGCACCAAAAACAAAACAAAACAACAACAACAAAATGGGCTGGGAAGGTGGCTCAGTGGTAGAGTACTTGCCTTGCATGCATGAGGCCCTGGGTTCGATTCCTCAGCACCACAAAAGCAGAAAAACCCAGAATGGAGCTGTGGCTCAAGTGGTAGAGCGCTAGCCTTGAGCTGAAGAGCTGAGGGACAGCGCCCAGGCCCAGAGTTCAGGTACTACAACACACTTTACACACACATACACACACACACACACACAAACTAAAACTGAAAAAATAAAACCAGAATCAAAGATATGAATACAGGTAGAAGTCAGCGGGTAGGAAAGGTAAACTGAGAGGCATAGGAGCTGAAAGGAGACAGGCTGGGGGCAGGCATGGTAGCACACACTTAAAATCCCAGTACTGGTGTGCACACACTCACACACACACAGCTTTAAATAATTAACAGCTCCCATATTCACCATATGATTTGATATCAGTTAAAAATTTCAAGGGGCTGGGAAGGTGGCTCAGTGGTAGAGCGCTTGCCTTGCATGCCTGAAGCCCTGGGTTCAATTCCTCAGCACCATATAAGCAAAAAGAAAAAAGCCGGAAGTGGCGCTGTGGCTCAAGTGGTAGAGCACTAGCCTTGAGCTGAAGAGCTGAGGGACAGCGCCCAGGCCCAGAGTTCAGACCCCATAACCGGACCCAAAAAAAAAAAATTTCAAAATAGCAGTTCGTGATTTTTTTAAATCAAACTATCAGGGCTGGGGGGAAGGGTTTATGTAAGTCCACACTTGTCTAGTATACTCTCTAAAGTAATCATCTCTTAGACTATTCCAGAATATGAAACAGGTAGGAAGTTTATTAGAAAATTTTATAGTCCAAGGTTGTTGTTGTTTTCAGAAATGGTCTTTCTATTGTCTGGGAAGGTGGCTTAGTGATAGAGTGCTTGCCTAACATGCATGAAACCTTGGGTTCAATTCCTCAGTACCATATAATCAGAAAAAGCCGGAAGTGGTGATGTGGCTTAAGTGGTATAGCGCTAGCCTTGAGCACAGAGAAGCTCCAGGACAGTGCCCAGGCCCTGAGTTCAAGCCCCAGGACCAGCAAAAAAAAAAAAAGAAAGTAAAAGAAAGAAAGGAAGGAAGGAAGGAAGAAAGGTAGGTCTGTCTTTCTACATAGCCCAGGCTTGCTGGAACTCTAGATATTGCTCAGTTTGACCTGAGATTCACCATCTTTCTTTCTCAGATTCCCAAGTGTTGGTAGTACAGGTGCACACTTACCATGCCTAGCAATCCAGGTTATTTCTACAGCTGGAATTATTCCTTCGTATAGATTGTATAGCTCAGTAGGAAATGAGCCTTTATTCCCAAATGAACTTTAACTTTAACGATAGAAGGGACACATTATCTTCATACTTGGACACTAGTCATATAAGGACACTAGTCATTGAATTTAGGGCCCATTCTAATCCAGTATGACCTCATCATTACTAAATACATCTGCAAAGACCCTATTTCAAAATAGGTTCTCATTCTGAGCCTCCAAGGAGACATGTTAAGTTTAAGGAGGACCCTATCTAGCACAGTACACAAAGAATGCACAAGATAAGCTCACATTACAGTGCTGACTTTG